CTTTCTTTTTTTTTTTTTGGTTTTTCAAGACAGGGTTTCTCTGTGTAACCTGTGTAACTAACATTCCAGGCTGCCCTGGAACATGGTTTTTAGATCAAGCTGGCCTCAAACTCATGAGATCCGCCTGCCTGCCTCTGCCTCCTGAGTGCTGGGACTAATGGCATGTGTCACCACCGCCATGCTCCACCTTCCCCTCTTGAATGCTGGGATTTAAAGGTGTACACTACCATGCTTGGCTTTAAAGTCACTCTTTAAAAAATTACTTTTTATTACATTAAGTTTATTATTCTGTGTATGGGTGTTTTGTCTGTATGTATGTCTTTGTATAATGTACATGCAGTGCCTACAGTGGCCACTGAAGAGGACATCTGTCCCCCTGGAACTGGAGTTATAAACCATTGTTAGCCACCACGTGGGGGCTGAAATCAAACCTGGCTCTCCTGGAAGAACAGTCAGTGCTTTTAACTGCTGAGCCATCTCTCTAGCCCAAAACTGTTATTTTATTTGTGTGTGTGTTTGTGGCAAGAACATGCTACCATGAGAGAATGTATCAGTCAGAGGACAACTTTAGAAAGTCAGTTCTTTTTCTCTATTATGTGGGCTCTTCACAAGGGGATCAAGTAAATTGTTGGGCTTGGTGGCAGGCACTTTTGCCAACACTGCCATCTATCCCCAGCCCCAATGTCACTTTACTGAACCCTTAAAAAAGACAAAAATGTTTTCATTTTATTAATTTCTAGCATTTTAAATGTTCATTTGTATATATTCATTGTATATGATCCTGAGTTTTATTAGGCTATTTTCAACCAAGTTATTAATATACTTTGAGTGTATTCCACCTCCATGCCCTACCCTCCCAAGACTTTGCTATGTAGACAAGGCTAGAGTGGAACTCACAGGGACCCTTCCTGTCTGTCTTCAGAGTGCTGAGCTTATAGCAAAGCACAACCATGCCCAGCCAAAATGGTATTTTGATATGTAATTCTACCACAGTTGAAAAGGTGGAAGACCTTTCAAAAAGGTCTTCCACCTTTTCAACTGTGAAGAGACACCATGACCATGGCAACTCTCATAAAGGAAAACATTTAATTGGGTGGCTCGATTATAGTTGAGAGGTTCAGTCATCATCATCATGGTGGGATATGATGGTGTGAAGGCAGACATGGTGCTGGTTGCAGGTAGCAGGAAATGGTCTGTCTCACTGGGTGTGGTTTGAGCATATATGAGACTTCAAAGCCACAGTGACACACTTCCTCCAACAAGACCATAACTATTCCAACAAGGTCACACCTAATAATGTCACTCCCTTTGGGGGCTATTTTTCTTTCTACCACATACTTGTCACTTTTAACTTTGTCTTAGAGTTTCATGCATGAAGCAATGGATAAGAATACGGTTTTAAAACTGATCATGGTGGTATATGCCTTTAATACCAGCACTTAGGAGACAGAGGCAGGTCAATCTGAGAATTCAAGGTTAGCCTCATCTACAAAGCAAGTTCCAGAATCTGTTCCCTTCCCCCAAAAAATATGGTTAAAGTAAAACCAGGAGCAGAAACGTTCCAGGAACAGAGTGGTAAACAGGCATAGATTTGGCCAGATACCAACAACCAAACTAAAAGCAAAGTCAGCCAGAGATGCCAGGTGGTGGTAGTACACGCTTGTAAGCCCAGTACTTGGTAGCAGAGACAGGCAGATCTCTGTGAGTTTGAGGCCAGCTTGGTCTACAGAGTGAGTGCCAGGACAGGCTCCAAAGCTACAGAGCAACCCTGTCTCCAAGAACCAAAAAACCAAAAACCAAAAAAAAAAAAAAAAAAAAAAAAAAAAAAAAAAAAAAAAAAGGCAGCCAGAAAGCTGGAGTCAAAAGTGTGGCCCTTCAGTTCCATGAGTAACACTCTCCAACCAGCTCTCCTGACTAACAGTCAATGGCATGCTCGGCTTTCTGTTTCATAGCAGAGAGGAGTGGAAAGGTGAGACTTACTTACCATTTCATAGACAAACGTTTCTTGTCTACAGGCGCGGTCTATCGTGATGTTTTCTTCCCGATAGTCCAAGAGCCCCTTCCTAACACTGACAAAGACACATGAAAACAAAATGGTCAGCATGCTTGCCTGAATATTTAAAATATCTTTTAAAAAAAAGACTTATTTGTGTGCGTGACTGCATGTATGTCTGTGCACATGTGTACCTGTTGCCCACAGAGGGCAGAAGAGGACATCAGATCCCTCAGAACTGGAATTACAGATTTGTGAGCTCCTATGTAGTTATCAGGAACTGAACCCAGGTCCTCTGGAAGACCAGCATGTGTTTCTAACCACTGAGGCCATCTCTAGTCCTTAACATATCTTAAATTTTTAACGGTTTTTGCTATTTTCAGTTAGGATAAGAATCAAACCCAAAATTTTACTTATGTTAGGCAACAACTCTATTCCTGAGCTCCACTAACCAACTCTAATCTTATAATGTATTGTTTTAGACTACTTTTACACTTAAAATACAAAAATAGCACCAAGACCATACCCCTTATATCTCTCCCCACAGCTTCCTCCTCCCAGTATCCTCGGGGATCACAAAATCTCACACAGGAATTTTATTCCGTGGGTTAAAAAATCTACTATTATTTTGTTGCTCAAATTGCTCTAGCTTTAGTCATAAGGAGCCCAAACATTCAACAGGCTCTGATCTTTTATTATTTTGGGTAGGGGAGGAAGGTGTGCATTTCTTGGTTTGTGGAACCATGGGTATTCAAAACCCATTCTCTACTTTTCCCATCCAAATCCTGGCATTAACCAATGGTGTCAGTGAGCGGGATGACCCATGCCCCCAAGGTTCCCAGAGAAAGAGGTAAACCTGCTGCCACAGCCTGCCCTGTCGGGCTGCTGAGAGGTATCGGAGCAGCTTCCATATGCTCTTGCCATCCTGGCGCTGCTGGAGTTTAGACTCGGCATTTCTGAGATGATAAAGAAAAACCTCTAAAGGTTTACACTACATTTAAAAATATATGTAGGCTTGTGAGAGAAAAAGTAACAGGAGGAAATAGAGTAGCCGGTTATGGTGGCCAACGCCAGTAGGATTTATTGAAGGAAGCAGAGGCAGGCAGATTTCCACAGAGAAACCCTGTCTCAGAAAAAAAGAAAAAGGAAGTAAAAGTAGAATAGTAAAAAAGCCACCTAGAGATGGAAAATACACAGAGAATCTGGATACTATATGCCATATTGTTGTCTTTAAATTGTTTGATTACCGAGAAAAGACTTACTGCTGCTAAAATACATTTGATTATAAATGCTGCTAACTTAATCCAACTTATACATTTTAAAAATGCTTTAACTTCAAAACTTAAGTCTAAGGACAGGCTACTTAGAAATAAAGGTTTTGCTTGTATTTCCACAGAAAATGAAAAGCTGTGGATTCCTTCCACATATTTGATCAAACATGGTTTGATCAAACAAGACCCCCTAAAGCTGAGACGATACAGCCTTACAGACTACAAAAACAAGGACCTGGTCAGGTTTCTATGTTTTAACATGATCCCTATGGTATATGAACATTGCCCTTAATCAGCAGGAAGCAGTTTAGAAAGAACGATGCCCATATTCCCAAATATTGTTTATAAATGTTTGTTTTCATTTAAATGGGATTGTTATAAATGATAATGAGCATAGTCAAATTTTTTTAAAGAAAAAAAGGGGAATAGGATATAGGAATGAATACATTGGTATAGATTTTCATTTATTGATACAACTTTAAGGTCAATTTTGTGATATATATATGTCTCCTCTTGTTTAGGTATTGTGTTTATACAGATCTTTTACCTATAATAGTCTGACCTTATAATTAGGTTAGTTAGGTTTTCTAGATATAAGATGTATTTAAGATGGATAGGTATTCTTCAAACCTTTCAAAGACCTACAGAAATATGGCATTTGCATGTCTTAGGAGTTTTCTTGGCAGTAAGACACAACTGCTTCTGGCACACCAATTACGTCAGAAAGGAGGATGGGCATCGAAGAAACTCATTATGGAGTTTGCTTTCAACATGACAAGAGTAGCCATTTGGGCAAGAAACTGCTCTTGCCTGGACTATTTGTTGCTGAATAAACTGGACATGCAGGACCCACAAAAAGTGACTACTGAACTTACAAAACAAGACAGTACTGAAGGGTTCCTGTTAAAATGGAGAAGTGTGCTAGACACACGGTGGCCTATAGGCTGAAGATGGATGCCCCAACGTTACAGAGGAACTTTGGGTGACTGTCCAGGTAGCAAGATGTCTCTGTCAATTCTAGAGTTTATATATTATCCTTCTGTGGTCTTTGATAGAGTTGAAGACAGATAGTTATGGTTATAGTTTTCTTCAGTTATTATAAAAGATAAGTTATCCTTCTTTTATTTAGACAGAAAAGAGGAGATGATGGGGAATGTACTGTGTATGTTTATCTTATTGATTGTTAAATAAAATACTATTTGGCCAGTAAGACAGCAAGTTAGACGGGACTAGGAGTCAAAGAGGATTCTGGGAAATGTAGTAGAGAAATGGTGATCCAGGCAGGAAGTGACATAGCAAGGAGACTCATATTTAAGTGAAGGAGAAACGGGAAGGGTCCCTTTTTCCCCTTGCTCCAGCAGCACAATGTGATCCACCAGCAAGGAGGGATGCCAGTAAAGCGTCCGATAAGTTAAGTCTTATAAAATATATAGATTTATAATTAAGACTGAGCTAGCAGATGAGAATCCTAGTCATTGGCCAAGCAGCTTTGAACCTAATACAAATTTCTGTGTATTCATTTGGGCCTAACTCGGGTGGGCAGCTGGCATAAAGCTCACACGTGGTGGTGGGGCTCGGACAGCTTATGGCGGAAAGATTTATCATTACATTAACCCTTCTAGGAACCCAAGTTCTTTTACTGGAGAGGGTTTTTTTGTTTATTTTAAAATAAGGTCTCATGTACCCCAATCTTTTCTTGAACTCACTTATAGTAGGGGATGACCCCGAACTCTTGATCCTTTTGCCTCCACTTTCTAAGTGTTGGTTACAGATTACACACATCATACCCAACTTGGGGGACAAATTTAGAAGCCAGTATCTAGACACTGTGTTTCGATTACCAGAGTTACTGCTGCTAAACCTTTCAGCTGAGACAGGCAAAGTCATGTATGTCTGTTAAGCCATGAATGTACAGGCATCTATATTTTCTGTGCCTTTGTTATGTATTAAAAATCTTAAATTTACAAGGATATTTTTACGTTTACAGACACGCATGCATGCACACGCACACACATGTGTGTGTAGATACATGTACAAATATGGAGGTCAAAGGTTGACACTGAACATCGTGTTCCTTTAATTATTTATTGTGACAGGGTCTTACTATATAGCCCTGCTAGCCTGGAACTTGTAGACCATGCTAGCCTTAAACTTCAAAGATCCACCAAAAAAAAAGAGAGAGATCCACCTACCTCTCTCTACCTTCTCAGTGCTACAATTAAAGACATACACCACCATATCGGGTTCTACCTTATTATTTTTCAAACTTTTATTATTTTATGTATATAGGCCATTTGCCTACATATCAGTCTGTGTACCACATGAGTGCCTGGTGCTCATGGAAGCCAAAAGAGAGAACATCAGATCTCCTGGAAATGGAATCACAGACAGTTGTGAACCACCATGTACGTTCTAGAAATTGAACCTAGGTCCTCTACAAAAGCAGCCAATGTTCTTAATGCTTGAGTCACCTCTCCATTGTACTGCTCTCGGGCTCCCCTGCCCCTGTCTCACCTGCACTACAATCAGATGTGCACCACTGCCTCCTTTAAAGGGAGTAAATTCAGTTATCATGCAAGCACTTTCCTGCTGAGCCATCTCCAAAGCCTTCTATTTGAATACTTCAAATCCCAAAACCAAGCCACAAGACTCATCATAGTGTTCAACTTATTACTTCTCCCCACTAGTAAGAAGGATAGCTCTGAGGACTATTACCTGTTCAAGTACAGTAATCACATAGATCAGTTCCCAAGCTGCTGCCCTACAGCCTTCAATAAACACTAATAGGTGAGTAGTTCTTCCTTCAGCCTTATATCATCACCAGCATGCAGACTCAGGGCTGTTCTCTGCATCCTCCTTAGTGCTTATTCATTTGTAAGACACACATGCAGACATACATTTTCTTTGTTTATAATCAAGTGTGTGTGTAAGTCAAAGATAATCCTCAGTAGATATCCACCCTTTAAATTTTATTTATTTATTTACTTATTTTGGTTTTTCAAGAGCGTTTCTCTGTGTAACAACCATGGTTGTCCTAGAACTCTCTCTGTAGACCAGGCTGGCCTCAAACTCAGAGATCTACCTACCTCTGTCTCCTGAGTGCCGAGATTAAAGGCATGCTCCACCATTGCCCTGCTTAGTTCACTTTTTAGATGGGATCTCACTAGACAAGGGTAGCCTTACACTCATGGTCTGTCAGCCTCCCAAGTGCAGGATTACAGATGTGAGCTACCATATCCAGCTTGCAAAATATTTGTAGTATCTTAAATGCATACATATAGGAGAGTATTCAACACACTATGGCAAATCCACACAGTATAATAAATAATGAAGCTATGATGCAGTTTGAAATCAGTGATGTCCAATACACAGTAGAGAATGAAGAAAGCAAAGCCACACAGCATAGGAGGAAAGGTAAGCTGGGTACAATCCACTGGTTCTTATCTACAAACATACATGTTTCTACCTGTTCTGTAAAAAATGAACCTTCCTGTTTTAAATAGTTTTCTTTTACCAGCTGGCACTCATTCACTCTATAAATAAAGGACAACAGGGAAACCCTGCATTGTATGTAGCTCATGAGGGAAGGCTTTGCTTCCTGGTCTGACATGCCAGCTCAGCAGAGTCCTAGTGTCCACAGCTCCACCGTCCCGTGTCAATGCCCGTGTCAATGCCCGTGTCAATGCCCGTGTCAATGCCCAGCTTCTGCAGTGCACTGCAGTCCACAGCATCTAGTACCCAGCAGCTTTCCTTGCAGCCCCTTTCCCTCAATAGCTTTTCCTGGCACACTCAGGATGGCTTTCCACCACAGTAACATCATTGGCACTCAGGAAACATAGGAGGCCCTCTCTTGAGGGCTCTGGGTCTTACTCTTGGGGAAGAAAGGCCCTCCTCCAGCATCCTCTGGCCTGAGGGATAGGATGCTCCTTACATCCACCCTGTCATACACTCACATTTCCTTTATTGTTTCTGTCTAGGCCTCATTGCTCCAATCCTTCTTTAAAGTTTTTTTTTCCACTTGTTTTTGTTTTGTCTTTTAAACGAGGGTTTTCCATACATCTCAGGATGTGCAGGAACTCACTGTATAGTCCAGGAGGTCTTGAACTTACAGTAATCTTCCTGCCTCACTATGCCCTGCTATAAAGTTAACAATCCTTTAGATTAAGCTTTCTCCATTAAAGTAGCTGTTCTGTTTTTTCTCCTAATTGAACTCTGACTGCTGAAGGAGATAAAATGCACAAGTATCCACTGATTTGAAAAAACAGAGTAAACCAAAGCTATGGAGAGAGGTTGGTTGTCTGCAAGGGGTAATTAGGTAGGAATCGAGGGAATGGGAAAGATTAGTATGGGCCAAAAATGTGTCCCATTCTTAACTCTTCATTGCTGTGGTTGTATTTCTCCTTGCTTTTATGGTCTAAGGTAGTCAGACCAAATTAGTGGTTTCAGTCTTGTTTTGATTTTTGAAGAGGGGGGTCAAACCAGTGCTTTGTATACTCAGCAAGCATTTTGCTACCAAGTACATCTTTATTCTAGGGTCTTTTGACACAAGGTCTAATTTGTAGTCCAAGCTTGCCTGGGGCTTGGAGTGACCCACCTAGTGTTTCAGCAGGACTAGAAGGGGTTGGAACTGTGGTCCACATACCCACATTATCTTCCTTAAAATTTTTAATGTAAATTATTGGTTCATATCTCTTTACCTCATTTTCTCATGGGGTGTTTTTGTCCTATACATGGATCTTGTAGTACATACTTGACTCCCTCCAATTTCACAGGCTACCTTTTGACATTATTTAGAGTGCTACTGCCATATAAACATTTTATCAGTTCATTTTCACTTTCTGTGATTTGAATCCTGGTTTTAGTGCACTCAGATCTCTCTTAAGTTGGTCTTATAGTCACTTCCTGCAGTAAGTTCTCTTTACAGTCTCATTTCCTCCTCTGTTTTTGGGAAATTTGTAATCAATTTAGAAAAGTTCCAATTTAATGGTGCTTTTTTTCCTGTCATTCTAGCAGCCTACTGTTTGATGTTTGTTCATACATTTCTTAGTTTACTGTGTGTGTGAGCTCCAGTGTGTGCTCCTGCTATGTTGGATGTATAGTGGTCAGAAGAGGACTTGTGAAGAATAGGTTCTCTTACTTTCACAATATGGGTTCCAGGAATTGAACAATGCATCGTGGTGTGTGAGCCTGGCTCAAAATCTACTTTTAAAACATCCATCCTGGTTTGGCTCTTAGGATGAGAGTTATGGGTCTTCCAGTTTTGTGGTTCTCTTTATCTTGCAGAACTCTTAGTCTCTTCTTATCCTTTAAATGGTACATGTTGGTTGGAGCAGTAATCAGTGCTTTCTTGGCCACACAAGTGAGGTGTGGGAAACAGATTTTACCATTAGCCTATATAGTATTAACAACTCCCTATCTGTTTTAAGTGATTAAAAATTTAAATACTAGGACGTGGAGAAATGGCTCAGGAGTTAAGAGCACTAGCTGATCTTCCAAAGGACCCAGATTCAATACCCAGCACCTACATGTCAGCTCACAACTGTCTGTTACTACAGTTCCAGGGGATCTGATACCCTCATACAGGCAAAACACAGCATAAAAATAAATAAATCTAGCTGGGCAGTGGTGGTACATGACTTTAACCCCAGTACTTGGAGGCAGAAGCAGGTGAATCTCTGAGTTCAAGGTCAGCCTGGTCTACAGAGTGAGTTCCACAACAGGGTCCAAAACTACACAGAGAAATCCTGTCTCAAAAAAGAAAGAAACAGAGTGGCAGAAACTTACAATTAAGAGTTCTTAGATTTCTTTTTTAAATAGATAGCCTGGGCCCAAGTTGGCCCTGACTTTCTGGCAATCCTCATTTCTCTGTCTCTCAAATATTGGGATTACAAATGTGAGCCACCACTCTGCCTACGTTTTTGGTTTTATTTTTATGTTTATTGACAGCAGAAAGGAAGTTGTAGGGAAAGACAAGCATAGAGCTAGATTTAGGCTTTTCCAGAAAGTTTAACAGTTAACAAGATTATTAAGATTAATGTGTCAGCCGGGTGTTGGTGGCACACCCTTTAATCCCAGCTCTTGGGAGGCAGAGGCAAGTGGATGTCTTTGAGTTTGAGACCAGCCTGGTCTTTAAGAGCTAGTTCCAGGACAGCCTCCAAAGCCACAGAGAAACCCTGTCTTGAAAAACCAAAAAAAAAAAAAAAAAAAGATTAATGTGTGAGCCTGGCAGTGGTGTTGAATGCCTTTGAGCCATGTTAGGCTCCAAAGCCACACAGAGAAACCCTGTCTTGAAAAACAAAAATAAATATATAAAAAGAAACAAAACAGCTGGTGCTTGTTTCCTTTTTTGAGATATCATATAGCCCTGGATGGCCTAGAACTCACGAAGTAGACCAAGCTGGCCTCAAACTCACAGAGAGATGCCTTTGTCTACCTGCCTAGGATTAAAGGTGTATGTCACCATTCCTAACAACAACTGGTTCTTTACAACGGGTATTTAAGAAATAATATCTGAGTATTTAGCTTGAACTCCAAAATCTAAGTAGATTAAGTATACATTAAAAAATTAGTACAAATTTGAATATGTATTGGATATTAGAGGTTTTGTGTTTTTAAATTTTTCTAGAGGTAAGAATATCACCCTGGGGGCTGAAGAGATGGCTCAGAGATGGCTCAGATCAGAGGTTAAGAGCACTGGTTGCTTTTCCAGGGGTCCTGAGTTCAATTCCCAGCATCTACATAGTGGCTCACAACTGTCTATAATGAGATTTTTTGCCCTCTTCTAACATGCAGGCAGAACAATGTGTATATAATAAATAAGCAAATAAATAAATATTAAAAAAAAAGAGTATCACCCTGATTATGCAAAATGGTACTTTTGGAGCTACAAACTGAAGTCCAGATGGGGAAAAAAAAAAACCACACACAACTGTACTCCACTCTCAGACTTAAAGCAAGGAAGTCCAAATGTTTTGTTTTGTTTTTTAAATCAATCATTGTTGAACTATGTAACGGAGGCTGGCCTCTAACTTGCATTAATCTTCTTGACTCAGCTTCCTGAGTGCTGGAATTACAGCCTCAAGCCAGGACATCAAACTCAATGGTTGAATTTAAGTAGTGGGGGTGTAGAGAATACTACTATACTTTCCAAAATAGAATATTCAAAAAGTAGCAGAAAGGCTAACAGTGTAGTTTAGGGGAAGTTCCTGTTTCACCGCAGCATCAAAACAAACAAAAAGCATATAACAAAACAAAATCATACCATAAAGTCACTAGGTCAGTGTTCTCTGGGATGACTTCTGGGTCTTCACCTTCTTCAAGGCATCTCAGTTTATCAAGGCTTAGAAAGAGGGAGAGGTCGGGAGAGGGAGAAAGGAAAAGCAACATTTTATGATCAGCCGTGCATTTTCAACATCGGGTCAGAGCTTGTCCTGAATACATCACTGAATAATTAAGAAGTCTTATGAAATCCAGCAGGCGGCTTAATGGAGGCCAGAAGAAGACAATGGTTTTTGTGCCAATATGTTCATTTGAGGGCAGCCAGTACTGTCAATTGGGGGACCATTACAAGTAAGCTTTATATTTCCACCACCAGGGAAGGTATTTTGGGGGGAACCAAAGAGATAACATATTCACGAAGACCACTAGAGACTACAGTTAATCGGGGTTTTAACACAGCTCATGTACTTCCACTGTGCAAATGTCAATGACAGGTATATATACCACTGTTACTCCAACAAGCGCCTTAAAGATCAGAGAACAGAAAAGTCTTTTATGCAACTGTCGTGTCCCGTTACTGGATCCTCCCTCATAAACTGTACTTTCGGACCCTAGCATCTCTTCTGGCCTTCCGGAAAGGGTTTGGGGGGGATGAAGGTTAAATCACGGGCCCTCGCCCGGAAGAGTACCCGAGGAGCACAGGGACGAGGTTGCACCCAGCCGGACCCACGCTGTGCCCCGAGGCTGCGCACTCACCCGCACACGACCCTCAGCTCTGCCGCTGCCTCCAGACTGCAGCCCAGATCCCGGGCCACAGCAGCATCCTCCAAGCCGTTGTCCGACGCCCCTCCGTCCGCCTGCTGCGCGACTGCCTGCGGCTCGC